ACAACAATTTGTTTTTATACCAGGAAGATCTATATCTTTACAAATGCAAGAAAGCATTTGATACAGTACCCCACAACAGACTATTAAATAAACAAAAGATTTACAAGTTTTCCAACCAGATACTGGAATGGATAAACGGTTTCCTAAAAGCAAAAGAACAACAGGTAACTGTTGATGGGAAACACTTAGAAAGGACAAATGTTTTGTTGGGAATTCCACAAGGCTCCCATACTATTTGTGATCTTTGTGTATGATCTTCCATATATGGTAAAATTAGTTAATTCCTATTCACGGATGACACAAAAATATTTGAGACAATTGCCACGGAAGAGGATTGTAACACACTGCAACAATACCTTGACAATTTGGCAAAATGGAGTGGTAAGTGGCTGCTTGAGACACACCTTCAGAAAGGTAAATACATGCATGTAAGCAAACCATCTAGAGAAACAGTATCCTTGCTCAACAATACAGTGCTCTCAAAAACAGACAATGAAAAGGACATGGGTATCACAATGACTCTTTCATTTGAGGATCAGGTAAGTGAGAAGTTGAACAAAATTAATTTCATGTTCACTATTCTCAGGTGAATTTTCAACTTCATGGATAGGAAATCCTTTATGCTTCTATACAAAACTCTTCTAAAGATAAGATTTTGCCAGCTCAGTGTGGTCACCAGCCAAAATTAAGGATATTGAGAGAACTGAGGTGGTGCAGAGAAGGGTGACAAAACAGCTCCCATGGGCTGAAAAACCTAACTTATGAAGAGAGACTTAAAAAACTGGACTTGCACACCCTAACATTTAGCAGGATTAGAGGAGAAACTATTGAAACCTACAAGATAATGAGTGGTATATATGATAAAAACACAAGCAACATTCTCACACCATGGAACAGAGTTACCGAAACGAACAGCTCAAGGACAAATTCAAACAAGAGGCCCAAGGGGCCTTAACAGTCACCTGAGGAATATATGTCAATAATCTGGGGATTTTAAAATATTGCAAAAATATAACAACACTTGTGCAGGACCATGTGTAAAACATCTGTACCAAGTTTGAACATGACCACCCAATGGTTCTTGAGAGGAAGTCCATAATGTCTTAGCCAAACAGAGGCCAGGATGGCCATCTTGGATTTTGAATTGCCCCAAAAAGTTAAAACACTTGCCAGGACCTTGTGTAGAACATTCGTATCAAGTTTCCCCTTTTACCCCCTCCTGGGGCCCCTATTGGGGCCACACCTTTTTTCTTCGCAAACTTGATTCCTATGAGGATGCTTTGTGCCAAGTTTGGTAAAAATCCATCCAATGGTTCTTGAGAAGAAGTCATTTAAAGAAGGTTTTTACATATGGCCTCTTTTACACCCCTTATGGACCCCAAAGGGGACATAATCACTTTTTTCAACATAATTTCATATGTCCTTCACTAAGGGATGCTTTCTACCAAATTTGGTTGAAATCAGTCAAAGTTGAATTTCGACCCTTTTGAGCACCCCCTAGTGGGGCCTTTTTTGAACCGATTTTTTTTTCATTCGCAAACTTTGTAGACCATGCCATAAGGACCCTTAATATCAAATAGGAACTTAATCTGACTGTTGGTTCATGAGAAGAAGATTTTTTAAAGATTTACCTAATTTTACCCCCTTTTCCCCCCTATAGGGGCCCCTATTGGTGCCATGCCCTTTTTCTTTGCAAACTTGAAGAGGCTTCCCATGGGGATGCTTTGTGCCAAGTTTAGTCAAAATCCATTCAGTGGTTCCTGAGAAGAAGTTGAATATGTGAAAAGTTTACAACGCACAATGCACACTCAGGCGACCTAATAAAATCTACCCACAGAGTGCTAGTACATACCATTGAAAAAAAATTTCTTCTATAGAATATGGAAAGTGTGGAACAACCTACCCAAACATGTAATTAATGCCCCTTACACCAACACCTTCAAAATACTGTCGGGATAAGCTATAGAAACACCAGGAAATCTACAGAGATGGTGTAAACTACATGATGATATCAAGTGACAGACCAACATGTAAAACTAAGCACGAGTCTGATGAAGATGAAATATACATTCCTGTACTGTAAAACTACAATAACTAAGTAATATATACAGTCCTACATAGGGAACACATGCTGTCTCTATTTTTTGTAGAAAATTGGTGGTATTTTCAATAAAGAAACTTTCGATATCATTTAAAAATAAAGAAAATACAAATGACGATAAATTTGCACCCTGTTTTAGCGACATTGCAAATGAAAAAATCTGACAACTCACTTCCACTTTTGACAAAAGATTTGGTATTTAATAAATTACTCTGAATACTATTCCACTGATATTACGTGCAATCAATTTCTTTCAAAGTCCAATGCACCAAACAGTATCAAAAGCTTTCTTGAAATTGACAAAGGAACAATGTCATTTTTTACTTTGTGAGAGAGAAATTAAGGAATGTAGTATAGGTATATCTGGCCTGCATGTTTGATATACGATTGGTTTCTCTGCAGATTTATTCAGCTTTTCATTTATTATTGCCATAAAAAGTTTTCCAAAACATGAAACAAGTGTAATAGCTGTATAGTTATGCAGATCACATTTGTCTTCTTTTTTTTTATTAATTGGTTTAATTACACCAACTGCCCAGGCTTCTTGAACTTTTCCAGTGTCTAATATTAAACAGTTTTACATATATAGGTAATAAAATGTGATTCATGTTTTAATGTGCTCATTTAAAATTCTATCAATTCCACCAGCTTTGTTTTTTTTCAGGTTTTTAGTACAAATTATTAATTTCCCCTTCTGATACTATATCATTGAAAATGAAATCATGCACGAAAATTGTGATAAGGGGATTAGGCCCATGAATAATGAATACCAGGGTAAGCTGCGACGTGATCATTATAGGATGGGGTTGCGGGAATGTTGCTATCCATAAATGGAAAATTCACAATAGGGAAATTGAAATTTTCATGCCTATCACACAGTTTGGTGGAGAGCTGTCCACATTGGTTTCGTTTTAGGAAAAGATCGAGATAAGCAGCTAATGTAGAAGAGTCTGTCCAGTGCTTGATGTCCAATTTTATGAGTATATACATTGATTAAACTGATCAAACTGTTGAAGAACATAGAGGTTTGGAGTTGTTTTGTAGCAGGAGTCTAAACAGTATGAAAAAGAGGATACAAACAAATAAATATAGAATTCTGATACATTTGAATTTGTTTAAAGGTTGAAAGAAACTTTCGGAAACCAACAAATTAATCAAAATGGCAAAAATCTTCAAAGTCAAGTATAATTCAAGAACCATGCAAGTTAGTTATTTCAAAATTGTGATGTTTCGTCAGATGAACAAATTTTATCAAGAATTCTCCACCATAGAATGGGAATAAATTTGTTCTGTTAAGAGATCATTGAGCACCATAACATCAGTAATTAACTGTTTTAACACAATTAAAACATTCTTCAAAATATGTATTGTCTCTCTTCTTTGTGGTACCCATAGTAGTGAAGGTAAAATGTTGATAAATATTCCCATAACTGTCAGTGTGCACTGTCTGAACCCTGAAACATTGAATAGCTCTATGAAAGTCACTCAAGGTTGAGACTAGTTGTACTTAGAGAGTATTAGTAAATCATTCTGATACCGGAACTACAACTTGGGTCTGAATGGGAATGAGTTTCATTTATGGTGTAGATTATGCCTAAAATGTATTTCTTGTATTCCTTTCAAAACAGCATTTACATTTATTTACATCCTAAACTAGGTGAAAATGTAAATGTCCTGGTATGTGTCTATAGTAAAGAACTGTTTAGTGTTCTTCATTTTTTTGTTTTTTTTTTTGTTTTGGGCTTTTTTTCTCTTTTTATCTAGGAATGTTGCCTCACAATCCACATCATTATAATCACAAATTTGGTCTGGGTGGGAGGTCTCAATTTTGTATTTGTAGATGGTGGGACTGATCCCCCAGGAGATTGAGTAGTGGGGCACAATAGATGAAATGAGGGGGTATCACTATGAAATCCTTCTCCTTGTGTGGGGAATAATCAGACTTTGTCCAAATTTGGTCTGAAGCAATCTTGGGCAAAGGGGATCAAATGGTTTATAAATGGTTGGTTTGAACCTCCAGGAGGTAGGGTTGGGGTTTACTGGGATATACAGAAGAATTAATTTAAAAATCATTTTTCTGAAGGAATTGCAGGATTTTGTCCAGGTTTGGTCTGAAGCTTCTTTTGGTGAAGGAAACTCAATTTTGAGGGTCTTAACCCATTAGGGCAGAAGGTTGAGCCTAAATAATGTCTTCTGTTCGGGATGAAAGTATATTTGTTCAGAAGCATCCAATGGTTTAGGGGAAATCATTTTGTATTGATTGTGGGTCTTTGTCCTTGGTGCCCAAGGGTTGGGACACATTAAGGAAAATTGAGTGAATTCTAAAAATTCTTTTTACGTCTTTAATATGGACAGTTTTATGTTGAAAACTTGATCTTAAGTATCCTTTTAGGAAACTCTATCATGTGGAGGTTGTAGGTCTCAGTAGTACAGATAACTGGTCAATGTAATCATTGAAATTCATATAGTTCTGTTATAACGAAAATATTTTGACCAAATTTCAAGTGTTAAACAAATTGAGCTGAATCAAATACAGTAAATTGTTACCATCTTGTGTACACAATTTTTTCTACCTTAATGTACAGCCGAAGATGGTTGATTCCTTACTATCTTGTACACGACCTCCTTCAGTGCTTGTACCCTTCACTGGTCATTTGTCTGATGAAGGTAATTGTGTAGTTATCGAAAGATCATACTCTAATCTTTCATTTCATAAGCTCTGCACTTGTTTTCCCAACTCATATAAAACACATGAATGTGTAATATAGTTGATAATATTGTACAAACTATTGTTTAAAAGATTTGAGAACAAACACTTTTTTACTACAACCTGTTGTGAATGCCAAATGTATACTTCAGTCATTCAGACTCGTTTCTGTAATCAGAAAAAACACTATAGTGATGTGAACCATAAAAAGCTTTATTGAATATGTCCCATCTTCAAAAGAAATTTTCTCAATTTACTAATGTCATACATAGAAACTATAAATTAATCAGTGTGTTTCTGACGATCTATACTTCTAATCAATATAAGACTCATTATTCAGAAACCAAATAAGAACAAATATCAAACTTCTGAAGATTTTTCACAACATTTAAATAATAAAGATGTGAACAAAATTATTTTATCTCTGTCAAAATTCTACAGTCTAATATTGATGAATGCTGACCATTGTAAAACATAATATCAGATCTGTTTTAGTATATAATGAAATCTTTGACATGAAATCTTACTCTATAAACTACATACGTACTCTAAAAATTATACTGGTATTTGTGATGACAAAATCATAAACAAGAAATTCTTCATCCATGTTGGATTTAGAAGACCAGAAACTAGGTGTTGTACACTTTGACCTTTTAAATCCAATGCCTCTAAATATACCAGTCTTCTCTGCATACCTAAGAACTCTTTGATAAACAGAAAAAGAATCAAATTAAAGTATTGATATAAAATTGACCTGCTTTGATTCTGGTTAAGTTCCAATGTAATTTGTTAAGGAAAGATAAAGTTCTAGCACATGGTTGATTTCTTCAGTTAAGCAATTGGTCAGTTTTTTTCAGCTTAGTGATAGGTGAGTTTTAAGCTTCATCTAATCAAACGGCGAACAGTAAACCTCAGCTTTGTCCCAAAATATTCCAAAAGATTACTAATCAAATTCATATTGAGAGCAGAAAATTCAACTTTGAAAAAAATGATTTTAGAAAAGGACATTTTTTTAAAGGATAACATTAACATAAATGTGAATAGATATACATGTCAGAAATGTTAGATGTGAATCACCAACAGAGTAGTGAATTACCACTGGATACCAACAGAGTAGTGAACCACCACTGGATATCAACATCACAAATGGATATCAACAGACTAGTAAACCACCAATGGATATCTACAGACTTGTGTTTCACCAATGGATATCTACAGACCAGTAAACCACCAATGGATATCCACAGACTTGTGTTTCACCAATGGATATCTACAGACCAGTAAACCACCAATGGATATCTACAGACTTGTGTTTCACCAATGGATATCTACAGACCAGTAAACCACCAATGGATATCCACAGACTTGTGTTTCACCAATGGATATCTACAGACTTGTGTTTCACCAATGGATATCTACAGACCAGTAAACCACCAATGGATATCTACAGACTTGTGTTTCACCAATGGATATCTACAGACCAGTAAACCACCAATGGATATCCACAGACTTGTGTTTCACCAATGGATATCTACAGACTTGTGTTTCACCAATGGATATCTACAGACTAGTAAACCACCAATGGATATCCACAGACTTGTGTTTCACCAATGGATATCTACAGACTTGTGTTTCACCAATGGATATCTACAGACTAGTAAACCACCAATGGATATCCACAGACTTGTGTTTCACCAATGGATATCCATAGACTCGTGAATCACAATTGAATGTCCAGACTAGCAAATGTAAGTCGAGTGTCAACCTTTAAAATTATGATAATATACCAATCATAAAATAGTTTCCGTTTAAAGTATCATTAAACCTTTGGACACTTGTATTTACACATGCATCTACTAGAGAGAAGAGGATTTTTTTTCTTAAAATGTTCAAAATAACAATTTTCATCCCCTCTCAAAGCCATCTTTTTTTACCCCTACCTTTCACATCAAATTCTTAAAAACATCTGTAAATAGTAAACAGAAGAGTACAATAGTAGGGACTAGAGAAAAAATTGCTGGTGATTATCAGAAAATCAGAAAAAAATCATAAATATGCTGAATTTCAAAACAGTTAAGCCACAATTTAGCCAAGATATTGAATTAGGATAAGTAAAGGCACCCATACAACAAAGCATACAGGCACATATCTGGCATCAATGTAATAAAATCCTTTCAATTGCCTAGAATGATGTTAAAATAAAATACAGTACAATAAAGACACTTATCAATTTTCTAAAAACAATAAAGGTGGTGTTAAGCAGTCAAGGTCAATCTTACTTCATTGGTACAATATTTCACTCACTTATATATGCATGTATTCATGATCCATGCTATAAAAATGTGTATGTATGCTTTCATGTGTAAAAGATATGAAAATAATTTTATTCTAAATTTTTGTCATGTGATGGATTTCAAAATGATTTCAGGAGAAAATTTTTTTAAAAATACAGGAAATATGGTAATCAGATCTAGGTTTTAACCTTGACACTCCAAATACACTGTACATTAATACCAGTGTCCCCAATCTTTCAGGTACGTTCTGACCATCCTGTATCATTGTAATGGTGTCCTTGTATCAACATATAAACTTTCTCAATCTCAGGTGAAGTTAAGCCAGGAGCCATCACCACTGACCACCCTGTATCATTGTGATTGTGTCCTTGCATAAAACACTGGACCCCAGTTTTGCATGATGTCAAATCCGGCAGACACCAGCTACCACAAGACCTTACCACATAATGACAAGGGCAGAATACATTATAACATACAGCTGGTCATTTTCATGGGTTAATTTTTTGTTATTTTCTTTTACAACAATCAAATTTTATTTTAACAAATGAAAAATTTCTGGATCTAAAAGGACATTGATATGGAGTGTATCATTATTCCACGATGATGAAAAGAGTCCCTGTATACATACTCCCAGGCTAATCTATTACCCAGACATTATATACCCTGTGTTGTTAGATCAATGCTTCTATTACTGTAGTGATTTCTACTCACGATCTGGTTCTTTTATATGTATTTAATATAGTAGGTAATTTTCAACAGTGTCTAAAATAAAAAGCTGGTGATGTAGATATTGATGACTAAAACTTAATTAAACAAACAGGAATGTTTAAGCTGGAAATACCTTGTATTCCTACAGTGATGCAGAATGTAGAAATATACCAAATGTCATTTTCAGCTTTAAATTATCTGCAACATTCCTGTCTTCTTTATATAAAGTGTTGAGAAAATTATGCTTGGCATCAAAGTAATATATATAACATATACATGCACATCATTTTATAAAAATAACAATAACATAAATTGCATAAAAAAAGTCAGCAGATCAATGTAAAAAATATCCTCTGTGTGTGCTTATAAAAAATATCCCACTGGCCACTTGACATCAAACCACATAGTACATTGTAAGTGACACTGTACATGAAAATAATCCTATTGGTGTCCTGCTATATTATAACTTCCAATCTTTCAAATTTCAGGATCTTCGTGAAATGCAGAGTCAGCAAAATGTTAAAGCTGACATGCCTCTCCAAATTAATATCCATTATGCTGTAAATATACGTAATTTGGCACAATCAAATTTTTTACACTTTAACACTACATAACATATTTGTGCAATGATAAATAAACAAACAGCAAAAGCTGCAATTAGCATAATGATAATAGCGGAATACTTTCAGCCAAGAAAAAGAAATTAAAAAATCAAATTAATGCTGAAATATCTACGTTTATACTGTTTGACAAGTTTTGTTGCAAGTAATTCTGTTGTGAAGCACAATAAAGCAAATTACATGTAGCATATATCTTAAAGTTATTCCAATTACTCATCAGCTCAGTCTCTGCTGACATCTTATATAAAAGTTGGTTTAATCTCAAAGGAGGAAAAACACAAACTCATAAAATGTTGTGGAAAATTGACAAAACATTTCAATTTTTAGGAAGCAGTGCTCCAGTGACATCAGCCTCCTTTTCTTGTTGTTCAAATATCAACTTGGCAAGTTGGGCACGACTAGCTAGTCCCTCAGATTTCCTTTGCAGACACTTGAAATATCTATTACCATTGAGATGGGAAGGGCAGTTGATGCCTTTCCATCTATTCCTCAGAGCTGGATCTGTTGCTCTGAAAACATGGATTCTAGGATTTTTCAAAAACATATCTAAAAGCTGGCCTTGTTTGATTTCTATGGGAGAAAGCAGCTTCCTTCCTGCCAAATAGTCAGACACATAAAATGAACTATGCTCATAGGAATTGACATCAAAGTGGCCATATTTCTGACCAAATTCCACAGTGTTAGGATAAGGCTCTTGTTCATAGGCTAGGTTTTGTTTATACTGCCAATAGGAAATTGGGAAAAATACCTGCCAACCATGTATTGTGTTCATGCGTACACGATTTAAGTAGTCCTGTTCTAGCTCCATGCCTACTCCACCAATGGCAAGTAAAGCTGTTGAAGGAAAGTCTCGGACAACCCTATCTATTATTTCAAAATCTGAGATAAATGTTGAGTTTGAATTCATAGCTGACCATCTGATTCTCACTTCCTGATCACTTTGTTTCTTTACATAATAATTTATTGTTGTCTTGGCAACAGCAAATATGTCATGCCCATTTTTCACATCAACAGATCTATAAACAAGCAAAATATACAGCAAAGTATTGTCGTTATTGTCCAGGACTGCTTTTGAGAAACTGTCCATGAAAACTGCAAAGTCATTTTGATCCTCAAGGAAAACCGGCACAATGAGATTGACTTTGGTGTTTTCTGTGACATAAGGCATGGGCACAAGTTCTACCTTGTTCAGTGGTCGCAGTAGATGTACACGTTTTATTTCCTTCTCTCTTCTGTTGTTTGTTTGTACTTCTAAGTCTACTGTGTATTCGAGGCCACGAGCAGGTTCAAACCGTCTGTAGCCATTAACAAGCTGGAATGATCTGTACTTGTGTCCATTGTCTTTATTCAACTTGGCAAAGGCTGTCTGTATTATCTCTGTCACATCCTCCTTGTCTGCTCCTGAAAGATCAGAACAAAGAAATTTATTGTCCGTGTGTTACTGTTCAGCTGCCGACAGAACTGAACCAAATAATTTCACGTCTGCTAGCTGGCTGTAAATTCAGGTTGTAGTACCACCTTGCAATTTTTCCTGTATTTCTGAGAATATTAAAACACAGTAGGCTATATTTTTTTCTTGGTAGTGTAATTATTACTGATGATCCACAATCTCGAGGGCACAAAAATGATCTTGATATTTTGGTAAGAAACATGTCCTTACACTTTTTCAAAAAAAATACATAAAAGAGTAACATTGATATTCCTGTGAAGATTGTCTTTTTCCCTTAAAACAAAAAATAGGTACCTACCTATCAATTTCTTGACATTGGTGAAGTCGTCATCAAAGTATATTTCTTTGTCTGTGAAGTAGGACCATCGTAAAATATCAAAACGACTCTTTGGTTGAATAGCTTCAGCAATTCCTGTGAAAACAATCATTAAATTATACTTCACTCCATTTCTTACATAATTAGAATATAATTACTTTTATCAACCTAAAATAAATGGTTTTGTTAAATCACAAAACATGAATTTTTACACAGATTTGTCCAACATAATTTACATCATCAATATCATTGAATAGTAGGGCTTGGTCTCCTGTTTACATTGTACATGATCTGAAATATATGAAGTTAGATTAATTTGCCTTCCAAATTTTGTTTTTGTTCAAACAATGTTGGAATTCAAAGAAGATTTCAGTAATTTCTAGGTGAGATAATGACCCATTTTAACTATTCGTGCTTAAAACTAGAGTCAGTATTTTATCTAGAGTAAGAGAGTTATCCATTAACACTTAAAAGAACACATAAAGCTTAAAATTATTTGAATTATTACATTACAGTATTTAAATGAAATTCCTAAACAAACAAAAACATATAACATGTTATTACTCAAAATAAACCAAAGCAGAACTAACCAAGAGGCCAGGTGAGGGAATCTCGTCCTCCAGGTCCAAATTCACTCAAGTAAACCATACTTTCTTTGGCCTTTATTATCTCTTGTTTAGTCAGGTTCAACTCCAGTTGGCAAAAATATCTAAATGATAAACAACAAACTTGAGTATCCATGTCAAAATCTAGTACATCTGTACTTGTTTCATAATTAACTAGCATCCATATCATTAGATAAATACAAGAGACCCAGAGGTCTTGACGGTAACCTCAGATAAGCAATATTGAATATAAAGTTAAAAGATTGAACAGCTTTCAAGCATCATGAAAAAGAAATTGTGACATTACATAAACTAATAATTTTCATTAAGTTATTTCCTGTGGGAAATAATGAACATTATGCTCAAAAATTCAATTTTTCAATGAAAATTACAGCAATGTTAACCTCCTCCCCAGGAAGAAATGTGAGACCCTTTTTAATTAAATCTAATTAGGAAATGAGACCCTGGGGCCATGAAGTTCACAATTTTGGTAAAGCACCTTAAGATGCTTCCATCCATGATAAGTATTTGATTATACCATATCTGGGTGTTGAGATAGATTTTTGAAATTTAAGTCAGTCTGACCCTTTTGGTTCCACCTCTCAGGCCCCTGTGGGGTGGGGCCTGTATAATTCCCAATTTTTTTTCATCTTGGGTCAGGGAAAGTTTCTGTAAAATTTCATTAAAATCGGTTCTATGAGAAAAAGTTGAAAATGTTAAATTGAACAGATGCATGACCGACGATGCCGAACTAAGGTGATTGCAATAGGTCATCATGAGACTTTGTCTCAGGTGACCTAACAAGCCATACATAAATATAAGCATTCATATCATTACAGATAAATACAAGTTATAGTGATAAAAATAATGCTGGAAATTTATTGAGATTTATTTTTCCTAACTTGGAAAATCCCATAAATTTAATCCTTTGACAAGCAAAATAAAGTTTTCCTATACCTGTTTTTATTACAGTACTTAAGGTCTTAAAATGTTGGAAATCCTCATGACTAATTGCTTCTAGGATAATGACAAAAACAAAGGCATTGGTACAACAGTACAATTATTAGGCAAAGTGACCCAACGTCCTGTGTGTAGTCGCAGGTCTATGTGCTGGTGGAGAAATCCAAGATGGAAACCAGAGTACTCTAGTAGAACTACACCAAAGGAAGGTAAATACACATAGGAGTGTGATGGAGCTTATGATGTAAGCTAATAAATACCCATCATTATGGAATTCCTGGTGTTGATGCTCCGTCACTCTCTTACTTGTAAGATAATGACAGTGAAACCTCCAACGATTTTGTGGACTGCATACAAGTGGTCTTTCTATTAAGAATGACAACGTAGACAGACTTCACTTATGGCCACTTTTGTTTGTATTTTCAGTGATTGGGTTTGTATGTAGATTTGATAGCATTAAACACACAGTAAATATATCTTAGTAGCTGCAAGTTTGACTCCTAAATATAGCTAATTGGCTAGACAAATGACGGATACATAACAGGTAACTTTGTGATTTGACAGTCACTGATTAGTGAGGTCACATTTGATACATGACCAGCTTTAACTGTTCTTACTTGAGAAGTGACCGTAATAGTAAAACAGAGAGGAATTTGGGTGACTGAAAAAAGTGGTTTTATTCATGGGGTGGTCTTATTTTTGAGGTCGTCTTTAAGTAAGGTTTTGTGAATATTTTCCTCTTCTGACATATTTGCAAATACATGATTTTGCAAATGGTGATTTAGAAATGATTTTAAGCTCGTGAATGATGAGCTATTAGATCATGGACTCAGATATTGTTAACCAAATTGGCGTGGATATCATAAAGATGTGTTTCTGTCCAAATAATCATGAGGGATTTGAATTGGCAATTGAATTTCCTAATGTTTTAGCATAAATAAATCCCATATGAAATATAGTGATTTACAGTATCTGTTGGATAAATGTCCATATGTTCATGTACTTACGCTCACTGTAATAAAGGTCCCCTCAAATCTATAGATATGGTGGTGGCTTTGTTGTTATATTACCTGTGAATCTTGTAATGAGAGATGTCATCTGGCATCGGATAAACAGATAGGGATGTGTTGAATCGAGCATCGCTTCTCAAAATAGGTATGTCATCGTCAAAGTCAAAGTCCACCACTCGGTAGTACTTGTAAAGTTTGTCCTATAGACAACAAAAAGTGAAAGTCTCCAATTACTTACAACTACATCTATCTTATGAGTTATATAGCTATGGAGTCAATATGTTGATATTTCTCATGTTCTTTTAACTTAGAATTAGTTATATTTCAACAAGACATATGCAGACTTACCATATCATTGGTGATCTACCTAGATTTAGAGGAAAAGTAAGTTGGAGCGATTCTCATACAAAATTCTGAAGTCAAGGTCAACATAGCAATTTTGGCTCATAATCTGATAAATGAGATGACAAAATAGCACTCATTAGTAATTCCAACAAAAAAAAAATAGATATGGGTGGGAACACTAAACAGAATGCTTTTTGGCAAATGAATATGGTAAACTTTTAAAAACAGCCTAAAATTATTACCCCTCCATGATCTGTACATTGCAGAGCGGTGGTGTGGTGGATGCATCGACCCAGTGTGATACTAGCACTGGACACATGGTTGTTCATCATACACCAGTCCAACTGTGTAAACACTTTCTCAATGACAGACTGAAAATGAACAATCAGATATATATATAAATTTCAAGGCCAAAACAGGTTACAAGTAAAAAATGTCTTCCTTCGTTGATTGTGTTACAATATCCACAATATATATAAGAAGTCAACTTTTACTGCATTGTAACTGCAAATATGGATGTTTCAGAACATTTAGTTAAGATGGGCTCCTCATAAAATATTATCTGATACTAAAATGATCAACTTCAATATGTAACTCTGGTAGATACTCAGCACAATATGCTGCATGGCTAAAGAGATCTTCCCTTTGACTCACATGGTCGAGCATAAACCTATTACACCCAGGACAGAGGGCAGAGACATTTAGATAAATAATCTGGCACAAAGATTTTCTCATTTATTTACATCTAAGAGCAATTAAAACAGATCAGAGACTTAACTAGGGCTGTCATCCTGAAAATAACTAAGATACTTGTACATGTGGATGTGGCAGGTTCATGATCATCAAACCAAAATGATTGATAGTATGCCTAAGTATGAAAGCTTGTTAAACTGTGGATTTATTGATTCAATGGCAGCTGTTTATAGTGAGTTTGTGCAAAATGCATTAAATACATTTGAAAAAGAGAATTTTAATTAATCATTTTTCCAGGTTTTGGTTATGCTGAAAGTCTGCTGGAACCCAGCTTTAAATTTACATAGGTAACTGTGTGCTTTTAAGAAAAAATTAGTGTGAATGTTATTTTTTTTTAACAAATACCATTCTGATCGTCAGTATTGAAAAACTTCAAATTTGTTAAGCATTCAACAGCACTAAGTTATAACCGATTTGAAATTCATATTGCTGTAACACTTTAAAGACTATACCTGAGAAATAATCAGGCCACCTTCAATGGAGCAGTGTTTCTGGCCATTATCATCAACTTCTGCTGGTCCTAAATAAATGTCTTGGCTAATGCTGATGTGACTAACTAGCTCAAAAATTTTTTCTGCTCTTACATAAGTTCTGTCTGTAATAAACATGTAGTAATCAAAGCTGGTGGCATAATGGTCCCTGATATACTTCAGGACATGGATGGGTAAAAATGTCCCATGCTGTTGCATGAAGCCAACCACAGGCATACCTGGGGGAGAATTTCCAGTTTTCGCTGCTGTGAAAAATATTGTTTTTGTTACATAATGGGACAATGTTTTATTCACTGCTAAACCAAATGAGTTGATTGTGTTCGGAGATGTCAACACAGCTACAAACAGCTTTTCTTTTATACCGAGCTCTGTTGAGGCAAATCGAGGTCGAAAAAACTTTTTAGGATTTCCAATGCCAGGCATATTCAATGTTTGCTGTACTGTTGGGTCAAGTTTAAATGGCGCTTCAGATTTTTTGGGACTGTCGATGGTTTCCTTCTTGATACGCACATTGTTATTTCTCTGGTGGAGTTCAAAGACATTCTGTGGATTTGTTGCCTTTGATGTGTCACACATCTCATCAAAAAATGGAGCAACCATCATGTTTAGAGCTATACCCATACACATGCCAACCAGCACTGGTAAAAAAGAACGCAACGCGGAAAGTTTGAATATACTTGTTGTCATGTTGGTGAATCCTGCTTTAACTTTAAAAAAAACAACTGGTTTCTGGAAAACTTAACTTGGTGTACCCTTAGGCTAAGTACGTTTAACTCGCTACTAGGGTTATTATTTCTATTCAGGGATATTCATCGTATGACAAATTCAATCAAAAAACCACAATTCGGTTCATTTCATTCCCATCTTGACGTTTTCCTGAAACAATGGACGTTCCAGCAGCAGTCACCGAATCGTCCACATCACAGAGTTATCAAATGTCACTGCCTTGAGGAAAACGTCACTGAAATGGTGGTAATTAAATATTGCGAATTGGTATAATTAAGCAAAACGCATATTAAAATAATATAATAACATTATCTCTATATATTTCAGTAATGTCATTATTATTCTGCTAGACTTCGAATAGATTTTTTAATAGATATGTGGAAAAGTTGGCCAAATCGAACAATTTAGAGAAAAAATTGCATTTCGTTCCTTTTGTCAATTTTAGAGTGCATGTAAACGTTTTCAAGACAAGAAAATTTCTGTGCGTCAAGACGACAATGATTATCGGCAAACACAACAAAATGGCTGCTGATCAGGTAAATGGTTTACTGACCGGTATTTTTCATCCATAATTTTCATGGCATTCCTATCTGTTATATAGTAATTGCGACAGCAGTTACTTTGATTGAGGTCCGCTTGTACTTATGATGAGCAATTGAAGGTTTTATTTATTAACCAGTAGTGAAATCGATGGCATTTTATCGTCTTTCCATGTGATAGAAAATGCTTGGTCATGTCGTGAATCCATTATAGGGGAAATTTAAGCTTTCGATTAATATTGTCCCATGTAAAGCTTTCTTTCTATACGTTTAAATGAATCTCCATAGATACTCATTATGTCGATCTTTCGTTGAAATAGCTACAATGTTGTAGTTCTGACAACATAACGATTTTGTTATATTGTATTCCCACAGCGTCTTCATATTTCTGTTCGAGCACTATAAAAATATGTTTATTCTAAGTAATTACATACAGCAATACACGTTACATCTAGTATGGGTATTATGCCATTAAAACAATAATTGACTGGTGAAATAATCTATTCTTACCATAATAGAGCAGCTTTCTACACAAGATTAGCTTATGAAACAAAATGCAGTGAAAGGCTGCCATGACAGATCATGCCAGGAACGAGGTCACTAAAAGCGAAGTGAAGAAGTGACCAAATAAGTCAAAATCAAAACATGGTGATACAAATGCAGGTTTCCAACAGGGACTTCGTTAGATCATGACTGATAAAATAAGTCTTAAACCTTTTGATCCATGTGCAACATGCAAATGAAAATGGTGATTTCTTTTATCATTTATCATTGTAATGCCAAACAAGGTGCAGGTTGCTTATTTCCCTAAACTTATATAGGTCAAAAGATCTTACAATCAGCAACTCCAGACCAATATAAAAAAAGCTGATAGAAAGTCAAAATAATTCGGACTAACTTTACCAAAAATGCCCAAGATGGCATGTGATTTGATTCCTCCTTTATATTGGTTATTGGGGTACAACCAGCTTCTCAATATGACCCTGACTGATCAAGGAGTGATAAATCCAGCAGATAGTTAAAAAAATGATTCCATATGTTATACTATGTATCACAATATCATGTGACAAGCATGAATAAAATCATGTGCTTTTCCAGTTCAAGTTTTCATCTTCAGAATTAAATTCATTCTACTTCATAGCATTCTCAGAGACTTAATTCATGTGTTGCAGAAAATGGAAGTGGATGACAAGTCTGTCAACCATGAAGGAATAAAGCAGTATTACGTCAGCAAAAACGAGGAGCTAGAGGTAATTACAAACATTTATCCAACAACTACCCGGGTAACATTTTCTTGGCAATACATGAACCTATGCATTTCTATTGCAGTTTTAGTAGAAAAGCAAACAAGATGTGGTTGCCAATGGTTGCCGTGTAATAATTAAAAAGGCCACTTAAGTTTAAGGTTATGTGTTGACTCCTAGTAACTGTATTGTTGGATAGATACTGTATGAGCTGTGAAATGGACCTTGTCTATTTGGTAGTGACTTTAAACAGTGTAAAGTATGCAATATACATGTATTAGTACATGTATATGTACATTCCACTCAGTTGTTGAAGCCATTTTAAAAAGTATGTTTATACATTAAAGTTTTCAGACTTAAATAAGAATATATATTATATATATTTTTTATTATCCAGGGTTTTACAAACAGAAAAGGATTTTATTTTCGAAACAGGAATTAGTTAAATGTGCTTTTTGAAGACCATCTATAGTTAAGAGTATAAACTTGCACAGAGATATATTTTATTTTCTCTACAGATGTTGTTTGTACCTCTGAAACCAATAAAAATCCATTATATTTTTGCAATGTCAGGTTTCAAATACATGTGTAGTACGACACCAAATACTGTAAAACATTATTGCTCTGATTTACAGCTTGTGGTGACAGAAAAAACACAAAATTTAAGACGTCTAGCAGCACAAAGAAATGAACTCAATGCAAAAGGTATGAGCTGGTTTTCTTTAAAACTATTGATTGGACATTAATAAAAAAAACTCTGATCAATGATTCGGTTTGTTTTCACTTAAACAATCCTTGATCAATAGTCTATGCAGTAGAAACTATAGCATTTTTACTGGGCAGCTATTTTATGCATCCTAATCTGTGATGATCTCAACAGTTTTCGACATTTAGATTTATAATAAGTCAAGTTATTGTTATCAAGCAGGGAAGGATTTGTTTATCTTAACAAACAGCTGCAAATGTATAGTTGACAGTGGAAGAATGAAAATGGCCCATTGCTCACAGCTCCTAGGATTATCCCTGCTTTAATGATGAAAGATAATTACTAGTAATAGTTTTTATTTATCAAACAGGATGGATGATTCAACCAAAAAAACCTAAAGTCCATAACGTTACAGATGGTATTTTTAAATTGTGTGTTTTATAAGAAAATAAACAATTATTAGATTATTGTATAGAATTTATCAATGTTGTTCAGTGCGGATGTTACGAGAAGAGCTACAGCTGTTACAGGAGCAAGGTTCATATGTAGGGGAAGTTGTCAAGGCTATGGACAAGAAAAAGGTCCTTGTCAAGGTCAGTATATATTATGGGTCAAGGTCAGCATCAAATGCTTGCCATGGTCAATAACAAATCCTTGCTAAAGTCAATAATAAGGTTATTTTACGCAAATTATAAGAAATCAATATGAATTTTTTTCTATTGAATACTTTGTTTTACGTTTTGTCATCAGTTTGTTTTAATGTTAGGGTATGACGCATTAAGCACATCATTATGGATGTGATATTCAAAGACTTTTCAAAATGTCTCAAACCTAAACTTAGTATCAGTATTCTTGTGAAATATTTTATTAATGTTTAGTACTCAACTAAAATTTGTTAACTTTCAATGATTACAGGTACATCCAGAAGGCAAATTTGTTGTGGATCTGGACAAAAACATTGATATTAACGACATCACACCCAACTGCAGAGTGGCTCTTAGAAATGACAGCTATACACTCCACAAAATTCTCCCTAACAAGGTAACTTATAAACATAAAATAACAAGAATCAGCTGATTTATACTCTAAATAACCAAGGACTGATAATAAATTATCATATACACACAGATTGATGTATTGAGTCTGATGATAAATTATCATATACACCACAGATTGATGTATTGAGTCGAATGATAAATTATCATATACACACAGATTGATGTATTGAGTCTGATGATAAATTATCATATACACCACAGATTGATGTATTGAGTCTAATGATAAATTATCATATACACACAGATTGATGTATTGAGTCTGATGATAAATTATCATATACACAGATTGATGTATTGAGTCTGATGATAAATTATCATATACACACAGATTGATGTATTGAGTCTGATGATAAATTATCATATACACCAGATTGATGTATTGAGTCAGATGATAAATTTTCATATACACACAGATTGATGTATTGACTCTGATGATAAATTATCATATACACCAGATTGATGTATTGAGTCAGATGATAAATTTTGATATACACACAGATTTATGTATTGTTGATAAAATGGTTATAAAGACCAAGTTATTGATGGGCCTGATGATTATTTGTGGATACTGTTGTAGGTTGATCCTCTGGTAAGTCTGATGATGGTTGAGAAAGTACCAGACTCCACATATGAAATGGTTGGAGGTCTGGACAAGCAGATCAAGGAAATCAAGGAGGTCATTGAGCTACCAGTAAAACATCCAGAGTTGTTTGAGGCTCTAGGCATTGCTCAGCCTAAGGTTAGTACACAAAGGCATCTTCATGGCATTCAGTAAACCCTGAACAACTGCATGCCCTGATCTTTAAATAAGAATTTGAAATCAAGCTTTTCACTTAACCACTGACATTAACATTATCAGAATTCCAATTCCTAATCCAAAAGACAATAAGCCCTGTCTGATCTATTGAGGTGTGCTGAAAAGACTGTAGACAATTAGTATGTTTCATAGTAATGGATGTAATATGGATTTTTTACCTCTTACTCTGGAGTATAATTTCAACAATTTTTTAGTTATAATTGAATTGAAGGTATTTCAGTGAAAAACCAATACAAAGATTTTTTTCCAAAGTATTCAGATTAATACATACATCATGTATATACATCTTGTTATATTTTTGGACCGTCATCATTTATTCAAGTGCTTATAAATGTTGTCATGATTTCCCCAGGGGGTGCTTCTATATGGTCCTCCAGGGACTGGGAAGACATTACTGGCTCGAGCAGTCGCCCACCACACTGAGTGTACATTTATCCGTGTGTCCGGTTCTGAACTTGTACAGAAGTTTATTGGCGAGGGATCCAGAATGGTCAGAGAATTATTTGTGATGGCAAGGTATGTCAGAAAATAAAATGAAAATAGCAAATGCTTTCATATGTCACAACAAAAAGCACTTACAGCCCACTGTAAAGACATACATTTTTCTATCCTGTATATGCTGTAGTGAGGAAAACATTTTTCTGCTTTAAACGAAACTGTTTTGACCTCTATGTATTATTTCTTCTACTGTCATTTTCATTGGTGGTGACTGCATCCCTCTAGTTACCCCATTGTCAAGATAATGAGATTCTGTAGGATAATTGTCAAGATAATGAGAATATGCTATGATATAAAGATGCAACTGTCCAGTGGAAGGGAAAGAAAATTAGTTACTTAACCACACACAAATTTAGTATCATACAAGATATGGTAACAAATTTTCATTGAAACTTATGCAATACTTAATATAAAAGGCAAAACTTTGCAAGAATGCATGAAAATATGTAGTTTATTTAGTTACTACATTATCCTACTTTTGTCAAATAGTCATTTGAAGAAGTAGCCAAGAAAGACATACGTAGACAAGGAGCTGTAGTTATATTACATTTGATTCTCAACTCTTACCACTAAAATGTGTTGACGAGGCAAAATAGTGTTAAAAAGTTAGTCTTTTATGAAATTAAAAACATAAAGTTTGTTGATGTCATAGTCTAGGACTATGTACAACTACTTGTTGTAACAATTAAGTTTTTTTCTTTCATGCTTCAGAGAACATGCACCATCAATTATTTTCATGGATGAAATTGATTCAATTGGTTCATCACGGCTAGAGGGAGGATCTGGAGGTAAGTTACAGGAGATTGAGGTGTTCAAATTACATAATTGATATACAGGTGACAGTGAGGTACAGAGAACTATGTTATAGTGTATGTTGATTACCTATATAAACTAAGACTTACCTGTATGATGATTGACATTTCCTACAGGTGACAGTGAGGTACAGAGAACACTGTGTTATAGTGTATGTTGATTACCTATATAAACTAAGACTTACCTGTATGATGATTGACATTTCCTACAGGTGACAGTGAGGTACAGAGAACACTGTGTTATAGTGTATGTTGATTACCTATAGAGACTAAGACTTACCTGTATGATGATTGACATTTCCTACAGGTGACAGTGAGGTACAGAGAACACTGTGTTATAGTGTATGTTGATTACCTATATAAACTAAGACTTACCTGTATGATGATTGACATTTCCTACAGGTGACAGTGAGGTACAGAGAACACTATGAACACTGACAGTTATGTGTTATAGTGTATGTTGATTACCTATAGAGACTAAGACTTACCTGTATGATGATTGACATTTCCTACAGGTGACAGTGAGGTACAGAGAACACTGTGTTATAGTGTATGTTGATTACCTATAGAGACTAAGACTTACCTGTATGATGATTGACATTTCCTACAGGTGACAGTGAGGTACAGAGAACACTGTGTTATAGTGTATGTTGATTACCTATATAGACTAAGACTTACCTGTATGATGATTGACATTTCCTACAGGTGACAGTGAGGTACAGAGAACACTGTGTTATAGTGTATGTTGATTACCTATAGAGACTAAGACTTACCTGTATGATGATTGACATTTCCTACAGGTGACAGTGAGGTACAGAGAACACTGTGTTATAGTGTATGTTGATTACCTTTAGAGACTAAGACTTACCTGTATGATGATAGACATTTCCTACAGGTGACAGTGAGGTACAGAGAACACTGTGTTATAGTGTATGTTGATTACCTATAGAGACTAAGACTTACCTGCATGATGATTGACATTTCCTACAGGTGACAGTGAGGTACAGAGAACACTGTGTTATAGTGTATGTTGATTACCTATATAAACTAAGACTTACCTGTATGATGATTGACATTTCCTACAGGTGACAGTGAGGTACAGAGAACACTGTGTTATAGTGTATGTTGATTACCTATATAAACTAAGACTTACCTGTATGATGATTGACATTTCCTACAGGTGACAGTGAGGTACAGAGAACACTGTGTTATAGTGTATGTTGATTACCTATATAGACTAAGACTTACCTGTATGATGATTGACATTTCCTACAGGTGACAGTGAGGTACAGAGAACACTGTGTTATAGTGTATGTTGATTACCTATATAAACTAAGACTTACCTGTATGATGATTGACATTTCCTACAGGTGACAGTGAGGTACAGAGAACACTATGTTATAGTGTATGTTGACCTATTGATTACATTTCTATATACAGAGAACACTGTGTTATAGTGTATGTTGATTACCTACCTGCATGATGATTGACTTACCTGTATGATGATTGACATTTCCTACAGGTGACAGTGAGGTACAGAGAACACTATGTTATAGTGTATGTTGATTACCTATATAGACTAAGACTTACCTGCATGATGATTGACATTTCCTACAGGTGACAGTGAGGTACAGAGAACACTATGTTATAGTGTATGTTGATTACCTATATAGACTAAGACTTACCTGCATGATGATTGACATTTCCTACAGGTGACAGTGAGGTACAGAGAACTATGTTATAGTGTATGTTGATTACCTATATAAACTAAGACTTACCTGTATGATGATTGACATTTCCTACAGGTGACAGTGAGGTACAGAGAACTATGTTGGAGTTGCTGAACCAACTGGATGGATTTGAGCCTAAACAGAACATTAAGGTATGATATCAAGTTTGTAATGTAAACCAGAGAAAAAAAGTCAAGAATTATTAATGCTCGATAAATATTTCATTATTTAGCATTTTTCTATCAATTCAAAATTTAGAGAATCACATTATCTTGCACATGAGACTTTGTATGCATATGAAAGTACTGTATAATTAAGTGTATATACTATAACTTCTTGCTTATCCAATAGCATTTCCACTAAATTTGCATAGCCATTATATAATCGATGTGAAATTGCTTTTAAATTGAAATGTTGATGGCTTGTAAATTTTACACACTTACTTTTACCTATTAGACATTGAGACATAAAGTCTTAATTTTACCTTCAAGGCATTATATGTGTAGATACATGACGTCATCCACAGATCTGTAACATTATTTTTTTATTTTGACAGGTTATAATGGCTACTAACAGAATAGATATTTTAGATTCAGCTTTGTTGCGACCAGGAAGAATAGACAGAAAGATTGAATTCCCTCCACCAAATGAGGAAGTAAGTCATCATCACCATAATTATCATAGATGATAATAAATTTCTGTCACATTTCTACTTCCAGTTCAACATGATATTGATATTAAACTGATTATAATGACAAGAATCACCAGACAAGAAAATATATGATGCATTATATCTTCTTTTTGTTAAATGACTTAAATATTCTCACGATAACCCCAAAGAAAACCTTACTTTCACATTGTATTAATCTATAAAATAGCAGCAAAAATAAAGTTTCTTTGTCATGTGTCTGTAAAAAAGGTAACTCAGGCAGATTGAACAGTACATATTTGAGCCCCCACCATTTTATCGTCTGTGAAGACTGTGCATTACTCTCACAATTTACTCCTCGTCCACTCTATCTTAGCCAAATATTATGCCTTAATGTGAAAATAGGTTGATTAAACCATATATATGTTCATCTCCTACTCTGAAAATGGATTAGAAAGGTATAAAAGTAACACATATGTGTTTGTTTATACTTCCCTCACTAGTATCTCATAATCCATGGGAATAGGTGAACATGTCACATGATAATCATTATCATTTCCTAATTATAAAATCTAAGGTAATAGTGGCTTTGAAATGATTTTAGTGTTACAGATTTGGTAAGAAAGTAGGGATGTACTGAATGTAATAACCCAACATATCAGTTGAAGCATGCACCAGTTAGTCTGTATTAGAACTGACCATGAATTTCATTAGTTAAATTCTGGAATTAATGTAAATGTACATTTCATTACATTCCAATACTCCTCCTACATGTATAATTGAAAAAACAAAATTTTCATTTAGGCAAGACTTGACATTCTCAAAATCCACTCTAGAAAGATGAATTTAACTCGAGGGATCAACTTAAGGAAAATAGCTGAGATGATGCCTGGTGCTTCGGGAGCAGAAGTAAAGGTGAGGATCTACTTGATAATGTGTTAGAAAAACTCGATGCACACAAAATTAGATATATATCAGAAATAAGATAAATGATGTTTGTACATGTCTTTAAAATGCTTACCATGAAAATTGACCTACCTTTCACATATATTCTGCCAATGTACTTAGGTCATTTTTCAGTGTATTTCACGTAACAGGAACAAAAGAAAAGTATGAATATGCAATGTTTGTGGACATATTTTTGTAATATACCATTTTCTGGTACAGGGTGTTTGTACAGAGGCAGGAATGTACGCTCTAAGAGAGAGAAGGGTCCATGTCACACAGGAAGACTTTGAACTGGCTGTTGCAAAGGTATACTCACTATAAAATATATACAGATCAAAGGAAATTTTGTTTGTTTGTGTATGTGAACTTGATTTTATAAGTGAATAGCATTGAAGAATATCTGTTAACATGAAGAAATAATGTCCCATTTCCAAAGTTCAGTCATTGTTTGACCCATTTGTGGGTCAAAGGATCACCAACAAACTTATGACATGGTTAATAATAGATTTCTGGTTTTGATACCAAATGGCAAAAATCGCATATGGCAAGAAAACCTATTTTAGGATATATTTTCTTGTTTACATATCTAAAAGGTTCTTCATTTTGTTCCACAGGTAATGCAGAAGGACTCGGAGAAGAATATGTCTATCAAGAAACAATGGAAGTGAGGTACTAGAGAGACCAGATTAATGAGAGAAGTGATGGTACAGTGGTTGCAGAAATGATGTACCTGAATATGAACTTTGTGAAAGGGTACACTAATATTCTTAATCTTATTCTCAGGATCAGAAAAGAGGTCACTTCCTCCAAGGGTAGACAACTGGGTTTGTAAGATACTTAGTGTCAACACATGGTAATAAATATAGGCAGATCTGAAGCCTTATTTACACATCAGAAAGCAGCTGATTGTGATACAACTTGGTTATCACATTTTAAGTTGAGGTTTTGATGCATAAGAATTTTTGATTAACCATTTCCCATTTCACAATATGCAGTATACATTTGCAGTTTGGTCTAGAGAATTTCAGCAGGATGTTAGTTATTGATCCGGAATACAGAAAAAAAAGAACACAGTGTGAAACATTCTTCTGAATTGATAGGTACAGTTTGAAAGGAAATGAGTGAAAGAGACAGAGTAAAACAAGATTTGTGGAAGTGTTTAGAGGGTGAAAGTTGTGTGATGGAAGACTGATGGAGATCGATTCAAATCAATTCAAGCAAAGAAAAATTCAGATTTAGTGCTGAACCACAAGACCAATACATCACTCTTCAAACTGATATTTCATTTCATTCTGTAGGCAAATAATGAGTGGCATTGGTATTTTAGTGCTATATGTTTGAAGATAGTTAATTAAAATGTTACATCATGTGTCGTATGAGTCATATTCTCTGGTCATGTGTAAATGCTGATTGAAAGAGAAGTTAATAAATTACACTGTTTTGTAATTTACGAAATGTTCTTGTTTTTTGTCAACATCACTTTAAGAGTACACTAATAGTTCAGTCCCTGTGTAAGATTTACTCTGTGTTACATTTTAAGTGCACCTGTAGCTGTAACCTCCCCTCCATCATTTCCTGGGAAAGAGGATACTTAAGGTAGACACACTATTGAAACTGGTTGCTTCACTGGTTATCATTGAACTCTTTATCCATATACTGATCTTCTACAGTTACTTCCCTTACCAAATACCTAGCTGATATGATACAAGGCAAAAATATACATTTTTTTATTAAATTTCAAAACCTATTTTCATCTGTCTCAGTACTTGTTTTCCCTCAATTATTTATTACTGTTAATCACTTATGTTTTGTGTGGGACTTGTTTTCATGTTAATACACAAGATTCAATTCAAATTTATTGTGATTATTTGGACCATAATAACTCTTGATGACGTCCATGCTGATTCAGACATTTATCTGATAGCCCATCCTTTGCAGGTTTAAAGTAATTTCTAGATCACTGTTCGCAAAAACATGTATTCGTAAATATATCTAAAGAGATTAATTCCCAAAATAAAGTATTCGCAGAACCTAAATGATTTGCAGTAACCACACACCTCTTTTTCTTGGTAGATATTTTGTGATTGAGTAGTTCAAAAGATACAGACCAAATCAAAATGTTGTGGAAACTTTCCTTTAAATCAGAAGCAGGCCTGATTAAGGGGTAATAGGCAATCAGTACATGATATAATCTGTACAATGAAATCAGTTTTTTGTGTAATTATACCATTGCTTACCACACAGATGCCCAAGAAAATGAACTTGATGTCTAAAGTTCCAATAAAAGGTTAAAAAGGACATTCATTGCTCAAAAGATATTACAGCATTGAAAAAGGGGCAAAAATTCTTAAAAAATAAAAAAAAATGATATTTGTTTTTCTGATTTCCTATGATTATGAGCAGTTTTTGTGTATGAAAAGTCTCTTCAGTATAAATGTTGTTAAAGAACATTGCCAATGTACATGAGGTTTTAAAGGTATTTCAGTATGAATAATGTCAGGTGAGACAAGACAGATATACAAATGTAATTTCTGTTTTATATTAAGATTTTTAAAAAGAAGGTTGGAAAAATATTGTGACTTATTTTCTTTAATCTTTCAATCTAGTGCATTGCTGGTTGAGTAAAAAGTGCTAATATTTTGTTTGAAGACGGTTACTCATTTGGACATTGTTATTTTGGAAAATAAATCAGTTGTACATTAATTTTAATAATTCATATCATTTTCAGAATCATTCCAGCTGGAATCTTGCCAGTTATAGCCATGTACCTCTTGGTTTCAATCAGATTCTGGAGACCTTGAACATGTGTCAAGATCATTCATTTAAACCATCTTGATTGACCTTCATGGACTGTAAATCACTTCTATTTGGCTTTTTATTTTCGCGTGAAAACGAAGAGAGTCGATGGCAAATTAAAATCCTTTGCGATATTTGTAGGAGAATAACTGTATGGCATTCATGTTGATTCATTATCAATATCTAAGTCTTTAAAGTAATTTCTTGATCAGCATTAGCGAAATCACGTATTAGTGAACATTTTTGAAAGGGTAAGCTCCAAAATAATAAGCAATATATAATCATTGTTTTAGTAGAATTAAAGTAGCATTCTATTTGACCAGTTTTAAAACGCTTTGGAATGAAGAGATTGGGAAAAAGACGGATTTTCTTAAAAATTCTATTTCAGTAAGGTCAGGAAAATTCAATATACTATGTATATTTTTTTATTTAGATCAAGTAAGTAATTAAATGAACAATATTGCATGTGAGAGCAGGTTGCCAATAATGTCAGAAACATTGGAGATCTAAAGACATAAAGGTGGGGTCAAAGAAACGAAGGAGATCCAAAGCTATGAAGGTAGGGGTCGAAGAAACAATGGACAACCAAAGATATCAAGGTGGGGGACGAAGAAACAATGGAGGACCAAAGACATCGAGGTAGGGTTGAAGAAACAATGGAGAACCAAAAGACATCAAGGTGGGGTCGAAGAAACAATGGAGAACCAAAGATATCAAGGTGGGGTTGAAGAAACAATGGAGAACCAAAGATATCAAGGTGGGGTCGAAGAAACAATGGAGAACCAAAGACATCAAGGTGGGGTCGAAGAAACAATGGAGAACCAAAGATATCAAGGTGGGGTCGAAGAAACAATGGAGAACCAAAGACATCAAGGTGGGGTCGAAGAAACAATGGAGAACCACAGATATCAAGGTGGGGTCGAAGAAACAATGAAGAACCAAAGACATCAATAGTGGTCGAAGAAACAATGGAGAACCAAAGACATCAATGTGGGGTCGAAGAAACAATGAAGAACCAAAGACATCAAGGTGGGGTCGAAGAAACAATGGAGAACCAAAGACATCAAGGTGGGGGTCAACAAAACAATGGAGAACCAAAAACATCAAGGTGGGGTCGAAGAAACAATGGAAAACCAAAGACATCAAGGTAGGGGTCGAAGAACAATGGAAAACCAAAGACATGAAGTAGGGGTCGAAGAAACAATGGAGAACCAAAGACATCAAGGTGGGGGACAACAAAACAATGGAGAACCAAAGACATCAAGATGTGGGACAACAAAACAATGGAGAACCAAAGACATCAAGGTGGGGTTGAAGAAACAATGGAGAACCAAATACATCGAGGTGGGACCGAAGAAACAATGGAGAACCAAAAGACATCAAGGTGGAGGCCAAAGAAACAATGGAGGACCAAAGACATCAAGATGGGGACAACAAAACAATGGAGAACCAAAGACATCAAGATGGGGGACAACAAAACAATGGAGAACCAAAGACATCAAGGTGGGGTTGAAGAAACAATGGAGAACCAAATACATCGAGGTGGGACCGAAGAAACAATGGAGAACCAAAAGACATCAAGGTGGAGGCCAAAGAAACAATGCAGAACCAAAGACATCAATAGGGGTTGAAAAAACAATGGAGAACCAAAGACATCAAGGTAGGGGTTGAAGAAACAATGGAAAACCAAACATATCGAGGTGGGGCCGAAGAAACAATGGAGAACCAAATACATCGAGGTGGGACCGAAGAAACAATGGAGAACCAAAAGACATCAAGGTGGGGTTGAAGAAACAATGCAGAACCAAAGACATCAATAGGGGTTGAAAAAACAATGGAGAACCAAAGACATCGAGGTGGGGCTCGAAGAAACAGTGGAGAACCAAAGACATGAATGTGGGGTCGAAGAAACATTTGAGAACCAAAGACATCAAGGTGGGGGTCAACAAAACAGTGGAGAACCAAAGACATCGAGGTGGGGTTGAAAAAACAATGGAGAACCAAAGACATCAAGGTGGGGTCGAAGAAACAATGGAGAACCAAAGACATCAAGATGAGGTCAACAAAACAGTGGAGAACCAAAGACATCGACGTGGGGTCGAAGAAACCATGGAATACATTAACAGATTTATTTAGATAATCTGCATGCCGACCCTATAACATTCTTCACTTTTACACATTTATTCGGCGTGTCATCTTTTTAAATTACTGGATCAGTTAATTGTTGAGTTAGTGGCCGTCCGCTTCTATATTGCAATTGTCTTAACGTGTCTTATAGTCTATCATTTACGAGTCATTCGACGTAATGTTTGTACTTTGTACTTGCATACGCGATGCATTCAAATTTTGACTGTAATATAGTAGTATTTATTTCTAAAGCCTTTAAAACCGCCTCATTCAGAATTTGTTTACTTTCAGTCTATTAAGCTTTAAGCCTTTTGCGGATTCTATTCCATTCATCAGGCTGAGGAGAAGAAATATTTCACATGCTGAGCTGTTTATGTAAATCAGGGTCACTATTCAAGCCTGGCGTCTGTTGCCCACGGCATATGGTTATTCGTTTTTCTAGTAAATACAGCAGAAGTTTTACTACATACCGTGTATTATGTACGTTTACAGCTACCGGTGATGCGTCTTTATAAAAGGCAACTTATTTGTGGGAGCAGGGAGGTTCGGAGAGGTGGTTGGTCGGGAGGGGGAGTTTGTGTTCACAAGTATATCGGGAAGCATTAATAATACATTTAAGCTAAGTGACATTTTTATATGATTATACATTTTGTACTTTGTTCCGACAAACCCAGCTCTGGTGATAAGCTGACGCGGATTTCAAATACTATTTATACATTTTCCACTCCTGAACGCAACCGATCTTCTCAAATTTAGGTGTTGATCAACTTTGACACTCTGTGGCCATTTATTGGCCATCCACTGCAAATACATCACTTGTTGACACCTCGAATTGGGTCTCGGATGTACACGTATGTCTGGTCCTAACAGTGAGGTTATTTTAATATGAGCGTGATATTCTTGAAATAATTCCAATGTACTATTAGCTTGTTTCATACTGTTTTAGACGTGAAAAACTGAACTTGGCCTTGATAAAAAAAAACCTTGACCGTTGTCAATTATTTTTTTTAATTCCTGCCAACTTTGTCTCAGAATGTCTTACCAACACGCAAGTGTTTAATCATAATAGACAGATGATTTGACCTTGACCTTTGACCGATGACTTTGTTTTTTTATTTTACATTTTCATTGATTCATTCCAGCCTCGCTCAAGTTCACGGTGTTACCAGAAACTATTTTGCCACAGTGATCAATCTACATGTATAAATCGCTTCTTCCGCAGCAAACCTCTGCTTGCAGTGTACAAGATCATTTGAATTCTGATTTCAGTACAAGGTGAACGAAACCGTGAAATTTCTATCACGTGTCAAAACTTAGCACTTATACGTGACTCACGGAAAGTGTAGATCATAGTCATTTTAAAACTTTATTTCGTCTATAACTCCCGCCATGATCACTGAGTCACGGTGAATGCAGTCGACTGTCTATTTGACTTGGTAATATTGATCATCAACAATGAAAACAATAGTACGAACTCTATATCATGATCTAGCGACAGTGATCTAAGGTTTTGCACATAAAGAACTGAGTTA